CCCTCACGGAAGGTCCAATGTTTGGGAGGCCACAACTTTTGACAGGAAGCAGAGGCTGTGACTGTGAACAAATTCTATGGCGACTCCTACAGCATAACCTCCCAAATCATCAGTGCTTACATGCCTTCAATCCATGCTCTGAACTTGCAATGGCCTACTTCCAACTGACAATACCTAAATCCTGCACGACCTTCGCGTACCACAGTTCAGGGAAATGCAGGAAATTTAGTACCAACCCAAGTGTCCAAAGAGAAATGAAGGGAATGACAATTCTTGGGCGGGCACGGGTGCATTTCTGGGACCATCCTACACCCTCAAGGCCTGGCCTGTCCAGAGTTTACGTTTTACCACACACAAGTCCAATATCACTTAAATAGGGAATAGACCTTAAATCATCCCTAATATGATTTGAGGTATATTCCCTAGTTAAGGGATATTGGGCTTTCTAGGTATATAATCCCTGGGCATCTTTTATAATATGCCCAAAGCCATATTCTATCTACTTAAGGGGGGCTATAACTGGTACGGGAGTACGGAGTGTCCTAAGGGGAGAGCATGGAGTTGTAAGTGCCTATTGTGCATTCTCGAACAAGTAGAGTTGGGTAGATTTTTCCCTAGGTGTCCAAGTACCCAGATATTGGGGTCTCAGGTAACCTCAAGCCTCATATTTTGAGTACATGGACCCCTTTGGTTGGGTAGATTAACCCGAAGGATCTTATGACATGTTGAGGTAATTTGGGGTATATATTAGATGATAAGCCCCCCCCACATTCACATCTAGCCCGCTTAGGCCGTTCACACCTCATACGGGTGGCCACACACTTTACGCCCGCTGTGGACTTGGCAGGGAGTGGTTCTTACGTGCAGCAGGATGCTTTTTTTCATGCTCACCTCCACCTATAGGCCCCGCTACGTCATAGATATTCCCCTTGATATATACTGGAACAATACTATAACAACCTCTGACAATAAACATTCCCCCTAACATATGGAGGTACCGCATAACGCGCTTAATAACCTATTCCCCAGCGCCTTACAGGTCACAGACCTCCTGGCAGGAGCTGACGGTGTCTCTGCATGGATTCTAAACCCTTGCGCGAAGAGACACTTGTATAGCTATAGTCTAAACGCCTGGTAAACCCCTCAATAAGCCACTGTAATGCTCCCTATACTACCCCCGTATATAACCACCCTAAAACCTGAACCCACACCCCAAAAGCCCCCTTTAAAGAGTTTAGACTATAGCTCATATCACACAGCCCCCAACCTTTGAGATTGCATGAGCTCTGAAACTGGAGACATATGAGATATTCGGGCACCTTCTAACCGGTGTGTAGTCTTTAGGTGGCGGTCCCAGAATAAGGATCATAGTTATGTTGGTCTATACTGGGCCCTCCCTCTTTTGGGAAACTACCATATGCTACGTTACAGACTATCCGTAATACTACCCTAGATAAACCATGAAACTGCAAGCCATCGGTAAATCCCCAAGGAACTGTGAGGTCTGAATGAATCAAGTGCACCCACTCCACCCTAAACCCTAACCCCTACGTGGCCTCTCCAGCAATCCAGGGTGCGTGCTCACCAGCCTGGTTTGAAGCAGGCTGGCTTAGGGTGTGTACTGGATTTTGGGGTTTATATATGGGGTTTATGGTTGGGTTTAGGGCTTGGGGTTCAGGCTTTGGGGTTTACCCTAAACCTAAACCCCAAACCCGAAACAGTTTAGGGTTTTAAGGTTTGGGGAATTTGGTTTCGAGCTTTGGGTTGACATGCTGACGGTGTGTACGGACTCAAAAAGGCAACTACATTTCTGGGCCTACACAGAATATATGATAGGGCTTACACAGAAGAGATGATAGGGATCTACTCCTCTGTTCATAGCTATTGAAAGTTGAGGGTGGAATAGTTTGAGAGTGGGCTTCGCCAGAAGGCCTGAATGACATGTGAGCCATTGTCTAAACTC